ATCATATTGTTCTAGAACATCTGGAAGGCCAAACCTATTCTGCTGCAAGCTTCAGCCACATACAAACACAGAATCTTGGGTGATTATCAGCTGAAGATGTTTCAGTGAAACAAAGCTGAGGCTTGCCTGCATGGTTTGCTCTGAGAATGGGAACGTGTGAAGAATTATCCAGGTCACAAATGAAGGCAAAGGTCAGTTTAGAGCCAGGTCAAATTGTCAGCCAATCCAAAGATTAGAGATCCAAGAAGCAGAAATCCACACACGAATATCATGTACAAGCTGGATGTCATATGTTGTCTCCAGCAAAGAGAACAGAGGCAGAGTAGATTCTTTTATAGACTGCAGCCAACTGTCAAAAACAGATTTACTTCTTGGTAAGAAGCCTAATAGACCTATTCTGCTCTCCCCTCTACTCACTGCATGTGTGGGCCTCCTCCTCTGACTCTTTGAGCTGCTCAGATGTTGCTTATGTTTAATTGGCCTCATGTGATTTTTGAGGCTGACATTTCTTTGTTGTAAGGTTACATTAAAATGTTGCAAGACTCACCTTTCTCTCCTCCACCTTGAGATTCCAAAAACTAGGGAGGGTCCCTTCTGAAATGCTTTCCATGGTTTTCCCCTACCTGCAGACTGAACTACCTCTTATTAGAATATTGTCTGGGCTGCAGGTCTTCCTCCTGCCTACCAAAATCATTCCTATATATCATTACACCCAATTAATAAGAAACTGGATTCAAAGATTAAGTCTGTCCTGGATATGGATGCCAACGTTTTAAGGTCAAAATCATTTAAGGTCTCTCTGAGACACTGTTTCTTCTGTGAAGAACTTGCTTGACCAGGCTCTTTTGAAGATGTCCCTCCTTTCAGAAACTTTGCTTATCCGGTGGTAAGGTTCTTCTACTGAATCCTTTCTGGGCTATGAAATGCATTCTTTCTGGAGCTGGATTGGCCCCTTGCATTAAAAAAAAAAATATTAAAGACATCTATTTAACCAGGCCTTTAATCACAGAATGTTGGGTTGGAAGGAAGCTTTCTTTCTTTTTTCTTTCTTTCTTTCTTTTTCTTTTATTACATTTATATACCGCCCTACTCCCGAAGGACTCAGGGCGGTGAACAGGCACAAAAATAAAATACATAAATACAAAAATTTAAAAGCAAAAATAAAACCAGATTAAACAATTTAGCCCGAGACAAATTTAAAACATCCCAATAATTTAAAAACAGATTTAAAATTTTCAATTTAAAAGAAAAGGGGGGAAAAGGTTAGGCCAGGCCAGCTTGCTGGAATAGGAAGGTCCCAGAGCGCGCAGATCCTGGATCCTCCGTATCTCCGGGGGGAGCTCGTTCCAGATAGTGGGTGCCCCCACAGAGAAGGCCCTCCCCCTGGGGGCCCCAGTCGACACTGTTTGGCTGATGGCACCCGGAGGATCCCCTCTCTATGACAGCGTACCAGGCGGTGGGAGGCTATTTGTGGTAATAGGCAGTCCCGTAAGTAGCCAGGTCCCAAGCCATGGAGCGCTCTAAAGGTGGTAACCAAAACCTTGAAGCACACCCGGAAGACCACCGGGAGCCAGTGCAGCTCGCGCAGGAGAGGTGTTACATGGGAGCGCCATGTTGCTCCCATAACCACCCGTGCGGCCGCACTCTGCTCCAGTTGGAGCCTCCGGGTGCTCCTCAAGGGGAGCCCCATGTAGAGAGTGTTGCAATAGTCCAGGCGGAAAGTGACGAGGACATGAGTGACTGTGTGTAAGGAGTCCCGATCCAGAAAGGGACGCAACTGGCGAATCAGGTGAACCTGATGAAAACCCTCCCGGTCATGGCTGTCAAATGCTCTTCTAAAGACAGCCGTGAATCCAGGAGGACGCCCAAGTTGCGAGCCCTCTCCGTGGGGGCCAGCGATTCGCCCCCAATAGTCAGCGATGGCGTCAACTGACTATATCGGGACGTCGGAAACCACAGCCACTCGGTCTTGGATGGGTTGAGCCTGAGCCTGTTTCTCCCCATCCGGATCCGCACGGCCTCCAGACACCAGGACATCACTTCAAGGGCATCATTGGGGGGATCCGGGGTGGAGATGTACTCTTATCCAAAAGTGGACCATTGCCCAGTGGACCAGAACTCTCCAGATGGTCATCCCACCCCTATTTAGATATTTTCCAAGCAGAATTGTTTACCCCTGTTCTAGGCAGCTTCTTCCACCACTTAATAATTCTTTCACCAGGAAAGTCCTCCCAATACCTAGCCTTTTTTTAATTAATTCAACTTGTTGCTGCTTGTTCTGCCTTGGCTTGAACAGAAAACAAGATTTGCAGCTGACAAGCTTTTAGATGTTGGGACACTGTTATCATAACTCCCCTTCACCTTTTCTTTTGCAAACTATATGTTCAACACCTTTATCCCTTCCCAAAGGTTGGATTCCAAACCCCTTATCATCTTGATACTTCTCTGAAATGATTCCAGCTTCTGCATTGTAATTTTCAAGACTGCTGCTCAGAACTGAATAGTGTTCCAAATGCAGAAAAGCCAAGGCAGATTATAATGGAGCTCTTATTTCCCGTGACTATTTGATGGCCAATTATTTTATTATTTATGTTTTAATTTACTTGGCTTTTTTTTTTTGTACTCTGAGTGTTTTGTTTGACCTTTAAGTTTATTTGAACATTCATTTTCCACAGAAAAGTGGCACATCAAATAAATAAAATCAATAAATGATAAGCCCTATTTCCTTTTTTTTACTTACATTTCAATAAACCAGATAATCTAGAATATTCCAGATGTTCCTGTTTCTCAATTCTCAACATTCTTCCCCACTGACAGTGTGGAAGGTTGTTGGGAATTGTGATTGTGACAATGAGATTTTTGGGAATTGTGATTCAGTAGCATTTCAAGGACCGCTAGTTCCTTACCTCTTTAATAAGTCTTTGCAGAAGGGAAATACTCATCAGATTTTACAGGTATCTTCATTACATGCCAAAATAAATCAGTAAAACTAGTTTATCAAGGAAAGGGGTGTTTGTTTAGTACTTATGCTGCCATGTACAGATGTTATTGCACTGGCAAAATCTGGTCTCAAAGATTGAGCTACCTCTATTTAGAACAATAAGTAGCAGATGTTTACATGAAACAGATGATGGTATTGTGATTTCTCATTGATAATTGCAGTGTCTGTAATCTCACCAGCTGTGCTAGTTTCAGGGTTTCCTATCCTGTATTAAAGGGTTCATGAAAATGTATGAGAGAATGAAGTTGGGAATATTAATGTTAATTGGCCTAATTCAAGATGAAACAATGTCCTCAGAGAAGGGTTGTGTGGCTCATTCTAAATTTGTCTGCTCTCTTAATCTTAGCCAGAAGTCCAAGAAGCTATTTAAATCTATCTATATTTGCAGAGCACAAATTCAAGCATTACTTTATGTTATTATTGTTCATGAATGATTTAAAGTAACAATAAATAAGTTGCTGTTGCTGTAACATTTTTTTGTAAACTCTTCCCTAATACAGGGAAGATGGATATTAGCAAATTCCATAAATGTCCAATGGTACTTCAGTAGATTCAGTGGATTTTTGGAGTTCAAGCCATTTTGACTGCAAAGAAATATCTATATTACTCTTAATTAGCTCAAGTGAATTTTTGTTTGTTTGGACAAGAACATTTTATTACTGTAGGTTTTTCTCTACCTGTTGTCTCTACGTCATAAGGTTATCCCTTTTCAGGAAATTTCTCCTGTTAATGCTGCACAAACACTAGCCTATTTCAAGTACTGATCACCCAATATTTCCCCCCCCACACACACAATACCTTTATAAATCTTCAGCTTTGTTGCAGGAGATTGTGTCCTGCTTTTCTTTTTATAAGCTGGAAGAGACAAAATTCTGTGGTTGGGTGAGAGAAAGTAAATTCTCTTCAAAGAATTTTTAAAACTCTTGGGGGAAAAAAGCAACTTTATAGAAACATGGTGCATTACTGGGAGGAAATGTATAGCCTTATTTTCTGTTTCCTTTTAAGTTACAATACTAAATACCAGAAAGCAATCTGGAAGAAACTGGGGAGATAGTTGACATAGTGTTTACCAACCATGCCTACCACGAAAACTCACCAGGTGATTTTTGGGTGAGTGATTCTGTCTGAATCCAAACCTATTTCACAGGATTATTTATTGTGGGGATAAAATGAAGTGACATATGCTGCTTTAAGTTCCTGAACAGAGGAGGAAAAAAAGAAAATAAATGTAACAGGAAAAAAAAGCCAAAATGCAGTGAGGAAAAACAATTTCACAGTAACAAGATATCTAGCTGGAATATCGAACAACACTACAAAGGCATTACTTTGAGGGACAATGCATTCAGATTTCAAATACAATATGAAAAGTACAGGGGTGGGTTCTGCTTACCTTTACTACCAGTTCGCAGTGGGGCTGCGCTCTCTCTCGTGCTCTTCTGCACATGCGCAGAAGCGTTTTGGTGATGTCAGGGTCAGTGGGCGGGGCCTCCCGCCGGTTTTACTACCGGTTCTATAGAATCGGCGCGACAGGGGACAACCCACCACTGGAATAGTAGCATATTTATTGCATTATAAACTCACCATCTGGAAGGGGTCCAGAGTAGCCTGAGTGAGTTAGTGACCCAAGCACCCAGGGGCTTTTTGAAGAACTATTAGGTTGTGATTGTTGTCACTGTAACCCTTGCAGAGTTTATTGTTTTTGTGGATTAATTTCAGAAAGGATAACGTATGTATTTATTTATTTGCAGGCATTTGTATTCTGTGCTATTCCAAAGACTTCAAGTGGCTAAGCATTCCGATATTAAAAACATAAAACATACAACGATACATAAAAATGACAATAATCATATGGGCGGCTTGCTCAATAATGGATTAATTCCTGTATTCACTCTCACTGGAGGTGGAAGACTGGCACCAGACAGGGCGAGGGTTGGTGCAGGCCTTGTCTCTGTGCGCTGTCTTCTCATGGCTTGCAATGCATCTGCTTTTTCTTTTGCAGATGGTGAGCGACTGGGAGAAGAGGCAGACCCTGGCAAGCGAGCAGCTGGGGCCCATGTGCCCTCTCCTCATAGGAAGGCTGAGGACTCCAGTGAGAGCCGGGAAGATGAGCAGATGGTAACTTCATTTGTGCCTGGCTTTGTGCTTTTTCTCCTTGTTACTGATTGAAAAATAAAGATCTCTAATAATGTTTGTTTGGGGAGTAGATTGCTAGAATAGTAGGAAAATAAGGAAGTGATTCTTCCTGATTCCAGTATGTTTGGGGATGGGGAGGGATGCCTATAAGGAAGTGCTTTGAAGTCTGAGCATGATGTAGGCATCAGTCAGAAAGCCAGAAGTGCCACAACTAGGAAGATTTTATCAATATTAAGCAGCAACAGTTAATGGTGTCTAGATTAACTACTTGGGATCCACAGGGGATTACTTTGGGTTGATGAAAATTTGTCTGGAAAAGAAATGTGATTGCAGAATATCCCCAAAAGAGAGGGGTAGTATATTCCAACTCCCACCACCCCCAAACATGATGGATTGTTGCTAACATGAATTTGAGTTCATTCTGGATGGGTCATGGGTCCACCATTTCTCTTATCTCTAGAGTTTCTCTGAAGGAGATGGATGGTGCTCCATTTCTCCTCCATTTCTGAGGTTAGGAACAGCCTCTGAAGATTAACCTGCTTCAAAAGTCCTTGGTGCAAAGAAGAATCTGCACATCCCAAAGGTGCTTTTTCAAGAGGCAACTGGACTTTCTGTGGCAAAAACAAGTTGCCTCTTGAAAAAGCACCTTTGGGACAACCATGACCTGGATGACTGAGAATCTCTATAGATAGAAGAATCTATCCCTCAAGCTTGGAAACCAAAACTCTTCCTCACCTTCTGAAGGTGCAGTGCTTTGGACTCTGATTTTTGTGTAGAAATAAAGAAAATCAAAGACACTTTCTCACCTCCGACTGACTAGGTTTATATACCATTGTAAACTATTATTTGCTTTGGTAACAACTTGTTGAACAAGATACAGTGGCCAAAATCACTTGCCATGCTAAGCAATTAACTGTTTTTTAAAAGCCACAGTTCACACATCATGGCTTAGTACAGTGGATAAGAAAGCCAATTTGGTGAAGTGGCTAAAGGCACCAGGCAAGAAATTGGGAGACAGGGATCCTAGTCCTGCAAAGCCAGCTGGTGGTGACTTTGGACCAGTCATTCTGTCTCAGTTCTAGGAAGGAGGCAGTGGCATAGCATTTCCAAAAATCTTGCCAAGAAAAACATGGGGACTTGCCCAGGCAGTTGTCAGGAGGAAAGACTGACTTGAAGGCACACACACACACACACACACACACACACACACACACACACACACAGCCCTAGCCATGTCTTTAAAAATAACGAGAAAACAGTGAGAAATTGTATTACTGTACTCTGTGAAGTCAGTATGGTTGAAGGAAGACTCTCTTTTCCAGGATATTAAGAAGGGCAGGGGTTATTAGCACTACTGTCAAGCTGTCAGATGCAATTAGAGACCCCTGCAATATTACACAGACAGTAAAGACTAAAATACAAGCATGCCTTGGTTTTATTGAGGTATTGATATATTGTCTGAAAATCAGTGATAACTGGCTTAGACAGTTGGCTAGATTTTTGCCCTGGTTATTAGTAAAGGGTGGTTTAGAAGGATATTTCAGCCTGTTGCATTTAACATAATGTAGTCCAGCATGATTAATAATCTGTACAGATTTGTTCCTGACCTCCTGTATTAACATTTTCCATTTTATTTTATTTTTTTCTTCTTTCCCCTGGGAAATTTTCTCTAATAATGATTTGTAGTTCTTGCAAAGAGTGGGAGGAAGAGAGTTGGTTGCTGAGGTCAAGTTCCATGACAATTTAAAATTGGAATTAAAGTAATTGTGACATCAACATCCCTAAAGAAATACCTTTGTGAATTAAAGCAGGGGCCTCCGACCTTGGCAACATTAAGACTTGTGGACTTCAACTTCCAGAGCTTTGCTGGCTGAGGAATTCTGGGAGTTGAAGTCCACAAGTCTTAAAGTTGCCATGGTTGGAGACCCCTGAATTAAAGAGACCCAAACTATAACACATTGGACATTTTCTTTGGGGGGGGGGTTGGCTGGGAGGGATTGTTCTTTAAGCAGCAATTTACTGGACTTGGCAGCTGGCACTTGGGAGCTGAAGTTAAAATTAGCAGGGCTTTTGTCAGCTGAAGTTACAGAGCTACCTTGTTAAATTGCCTCATAAGGCTGGTTAAGAGAAGACATTAACACTCCTGTAGAAGAGAGTATCTATAGTTCAGAGTTGAACGGTGGAGTCCCTGGTCCTCTCCGATCTTGGTTGTTTTTATGCAGACGTTTCATTCATTACCTAATGGAATGTCTGCAGGCAAATAGCTTATGAGCACCAAGGACTCCATTAAAGCTCCTGTTAGCATGTTACTTTATGATAAAGCTTTGGCTCTACCAGAACCGTTCTTTACCCTGGCTGGAAATAGTAAGCAAATTGACACTTAAAGAACTCGATCTGAAAGGGAGGGGAATGATTCTGTACCTGCCAGTGATACTTCCCTTGTGATGGTGATGATTATCTGAAAGGCATCAGCACCTCAGAATATACGTAGTCCTCGAGTTTCAACAGCTCATTTAGTGACGGTTCAACCTTACAACGGCACTGAAAAAAGTGACTTAGGACTGTCTTTCACAGTTATGACCTTTGCAGCATCCCCATGGTCATATGGTCAAGATTCAGATGCTTGGAAACTGGTTCATATTTATGATCATTGCTGTGTCCCAAGGTTGTGTGATCGCTTTTTGCAACTTTCTGACAAGCAAAGTCAATGGGGAAGCCAGATTTTCTTAACAATCGGGTTACTAACTTATCAACTACAGTTATTCACTTAACAATCGTGCCAAGAAAGGTCATAAAATGAGGCAAAACTCACTTAACAAATGTCTCACTTAGCAACATAAATTTTGGGCTTTATTATGGTCATAAGTTGAGGACTACCTGTAGAAGAGAAAATATTGACCAAGTTGGATAAATTAATGCAGAACAGTTAACATAAGCCGAAGAAGAGTTTTGTATGTTACTTGGCCATGTTACATTAAGTCCCCATAGTATGTTGATTATGTGTCTTTGGAGATAAGGGCAGAATATAATTTAAACAAATCTATGCAGAAGCGTGTCTCTCATAGCAGTTGGCATGAAAAAAAATAAAACCAAAAGCATAGTTGCTATCATTTTAGTACCGATTTAATTTTTAATTTTGGCTGCCCTAATTTGGATGGGAATCTGGAAGCATATGGCCTTAAAACGTAGTACTCCTAAGCATTCTGACTTTCTAGTACTACATCTGGTATCGTGGGTTCATCTGATCAGATGGGAGAAAGACATATGAACAGTGCCTGCAGGAGTTTCCAGTTCAGATCATGTCTCCCAATGCTGCATTTTCCCAGTGCTTTTTCAATCATTTTTCTGCTGCATATGACTAGCTTCATAATCTTTTGATTGATAGCATTGTGAGTTGTTTATTTGGAAACAATATTTGGCTAGACTGCCCACAGAGCTGTGAACAGAAATCAAAACTCTTGAAAGCCAGTTTATCTATAATAATAAATTTTCTGGAACAAATATTCCATAGCTAAAGTATGCAGATATTTCATTGTTAATTAATTATCCATATTTGAATTAAATTGCTAAGTTATATATGACATTGGCTGTTCAAAGAACCTGGAATTTTGTTTCACTAAATATATGTATTTCAATAGCAGGCATATATGCTCAAGATTAATGAGAAAAGACCTTAATAAGAGTTCATCAATAAGAGGAAATATATATGGTAGAAATTGAAACACCCCCTCACATCTCTTTCTCCCCATTCACACACACAAAGACAGACACATAAGGGCATTCCAAAGACATCATACATAAGCTTATCCTCTTGATCTGAGGTCAGAATCTGTCACCTTTTCTGGGGAAGGAGCTTCCTGCTGTGAAATCTCCAAAGAGATTGCTTTTTTTAAAAAAAATCAGCAGTTTTATATCTTCTTTGCACCCCCTTTGAACGCTATTTAGAATTAAGGGAACACTTCACTGTGTACTGCAGCTTTTCTTCAGCCCAGCACAGAAGCTAGTGTGAGAGATGATATTGTGTGGAGAAGCAAGAAATACAAGGACCATCCCCTGGAAGCAGCGGTGGCCTCTCCTTGAGTGATTCTAAGCAGCATTTCATGGAATCAAGCCTTTTTACAGATTAAGTTGCCGGTGTTATAATGGAGAGCCTCACCAGGCTCTTCTTCAATTCCAGTCAGGAATGCAACATTGGTAGGAGATTTATCTTGCACTTTGACACAGCCTGGATTCAGAATCATGGCAGCCAATATATGAGTTAAAAAGTTGATCAGTCACAAGATTATCATATGCGCCAGGATGATAAGAGTATTGAAATTCCCGCAATTGGAGGAATGGATTGTAAAAATGCTGTAATTGGTCAAAGTGACAAAACTAACTTTTTTGTCAAGAAAAAAAAGACAAGTGTTTTTTAAAAGGGTTGGAAACCTTTTATGGGCTTTTTGCTAAAAGGAAAAAAAAGTGAAATGATAATTTATGGATTTGATGATTGAAAAGATGAGAATTAAATTATGGATTGAAGGTATTTCTGGAATAATAGTCAAGAGGGAAGGGAGACAAAGGGTTGGTTAATATCTGTTGAAGGAAAGGTTGGAAGTCATTAGTAAAATTCATAACTTTAGTTTATTTCCCTTTTTTTCTTTTCTTGCGCCTTTTTCGTCCCCCCCCTTTTTTTCTTTCTATTTTTTTCCCATTTGGATCTGACTTTTATTGTGTGTAAAATTCTTAACAAAAAACAATGAAAAGTTGGTTCTTAGGCTTGCCTTCCTTCCACTCTGATCATAAGCATAAAGCTATTTGGTGACCCTAGCAACCATCTTTGAAGAAATCAGGGATGAAAAGAAGGCACAAACAGACATTTAAATCTCAGCAGCCTTTCTTGCTTGAAGGTAGCCTAAACAGCAGCCCTAGAGGTCCCAGAAGAGGTCTGGACTCCTTTAGTAGAGAAACACTGTGATCCTTCAGCAAGTTCTCTGTTTTAC